AATATTGGGCCGAGGTCCGAACGCTTCGCAATCATTTCAACCGGAAGTGATACCATCAATTTTATTCGGTCGTAACGATTTTCAAAAGGATTCGAGAGTCGTGTCCGTACACTGCGGAGTTCACTATTGCGGAGCCATAAATAACTACGGGGAAATATACATGTGGGGAAAAAATCAAGAAAATTGTTTGGGTTTGATGATCAATAATAACGCGGATCAATTTTTCCCACTGAGGGTGAGAGTTTTCCCATCGCTCCCCCCCCTTCCTCCCCTCCTTCCCCTCCCCCCGTTCTTACCTTTTCCGGTAAAATCCCTTCGATATACTTTAAAAAATATTAACGAAGATTTCTTTTCAGGTATGCCTTCCTGGAAAAGGAAAAAAATTAGCATTAGGAGTCGATCATAGTTTAGCACTATGCAAACCATTTTAAATTTTTTTTTATTTTGAATAATATTGAAAGAAGAAAAAGGACAAAAGCGACAAAAAGAAAAGAGAAAAGAAAAGAAAAAAACAATTAATTACATCTTACGCATTTTGATGATTTTCTAATTATTATTATTATTATTAATTTTCTTTTTTCTTTCATTTTCTTTTTTCTATATCCTTGTTTTCTTTGTTCTTTTCTTTTCTGTTTTTCATTTCTTTTTGTTTCTTTTTCTTGTTACGGATACTAATAAAAAATAAATAAAAAAAATAAATAAATAAAATTAATTATATATAATTTGTTTTTAATTATTATCATTATTATTATTATTATTATTAAAATAAAACGCAGAATAAAAATAAAGACAAATTAATACATACATACATACACATATATATATATATAAACGTTTACAAAATAATAATAATAATAATAATATAATACACGATACATAATGTTTTTTTTTTTCAAATTATCTTTATATATATATATATATATATATATAGGTATGTATAATAATAATAATAATAATATATCTACATAATAAATGTGTTTGATTAATAAAATTTAAAAATAAAATAACAAAATTATATATATTTATATATATGTATATATATATAGTTTTTTTTTGCGAGTTCGTGCGTGAATTTATGCGTAGAGTGTGCGTGTGCGCACATTTTTTTTTCTTATGTATTCCTTTGACACCCCCATACCCCTCCCCCTCCCGGGTAAAATTGAATCCTTTTGTTTGTTTGTTTGTCAACAATTCATCCATTCTCATTTAAAAATACATACATATACATTAATAAACAAACGAACAAACGATAAAATAAAACAATTTAACAATCATCAACCTTATGAGTTTTTCCTTTTTTTTTTTTTTTAAATATGTGCGATTATTATTTCCTCATTATTATTGGCAACGATTAATATTAACGACCCCCTCCCCTCAATCCCCCCCCACAATTTTCCCCATTAATCATATATTCGATTCAAATTTACAAACGATTATTTTTTGCTTTTACTAATTATTATCATTATTATTACGATTAATTATATATATTAAAGTAAGCGAAAACGATTATAATTATTATTATTATTATTTTTAAAAAAAATCGAACGAGAATGCTCGTAAGAAAGAGTAAGTGAGTGAGAGAGAGAGAGAGAGAGAGTGAATGAAAGACAATTATTGAAAATTAATTAAGGGGGGAGGGGGAGAGGGGGGGAAGTAAAAACTAAATAAATAAAATTTTTTTTTATGACGTATTAAAAAATCTAACACGTGGAATGATTTAAGCGAATATTATTAATAATAATAATAATAAAACCGTTACCTACGTCACCTACGCATTTTTTTTTTTTTGCCACGCGATGAGCAATAATACTGTTATTAATTAATTAATTAATTGATTAATTAACATTACGCCGAGTCAACAAAGAAACAATAATAATAATAATAATTAATATTTTTATAACCATCCTAAACGATTTCCGAGTCACAAAAATTAATAAAATAATAATAATAATAATAATAATTTGGTGTAAATATAAAAAAAAAATAAATTAAAATTTTTTTTCCTTTTTTTTTTTTTTTTTCGAAAACGGTAAAATTCGGATAAGAAACGGAAACGGAAACGGATAAGGATTGGCAAAGGTGAGGAAGAGGAAACAGTGAGCGAGTGATGTCATTTACGCGGTATATACCAAACGGTAAAAAATTATTAATATTTTTTTGTTCAGCAGGGATACCAACCGAAATCATCGGAAAAGGAAGAAACGTAAACAAAACAAATGATTATGATAAGAAATTTCCTATGATTGATAAGAGGTTTATCTCGTTGTCTCTTATTGTCCTCAACTTTTTGTTTCTTCCTTCCTTTCTTTCTTTTGTTTCCCTTCGACGTCGGAAAAACATTTTCCCGTTTTTCTTTTATTTACATTACTATTATTATTATTATTAGGTACATTAGTTTCTCTATTTTCTACTTACATAATCCGTCGTTACCTTTTTTTTTTCTTTTTTTCGTTTTGAATTATTAAAATGGCGTTCAATCGGGTATTTTTTCAACGAAACTTATCGGAAACATTCCCGTGTGTTCGGGATCCGTTTCCAAAGCTCCTTCTATCCAATTGTCGTCATCCGTTTGTTGATTCGTCACGATGATTATGTCACCGACTTTGAAACTCAATTCGTCTTCTCTGTCGGCTTCGCAATCGTACAACGCTCTGACTCTTTTCATGACGAAATTGGAATTGCTCCGACTCGTTCGTTGCTCCGAACTTTTCGCCGCGTCATCCTTCTTGTTGAAATAATTGTGGCTTTTCGCGAGGAGATTTTGACTTATGGAGTCGCGCGACACGTAATTCGGCTCGCGTGTTTTCGAATTGTTCGAACCTCCCGACGAACCTCCCGAACACTCTCTCGGACTCAAATCCGACGTGTTGCAGTAAATCCTTTCCTCTCTCGGATACGTCGATGTCAAATTTGTACTCGATGACGTGCTCACGGATAAAAGGGAATTCCTCGATCCTCGCGTCTCGCTCGCCGACGTCGGAGTGTTGGGCTGACTCGATGACGGCATCGGCTGTAACGGACAATTAAAATATGGCTGTCCAATTCATTCATTGGACAAAATTAAACATTAAAAACTAATTCGCTAATGCCGAACACAAACGCAAAAAAAAACAAAAAATCAAATCAAAAAAAGAAAAGCAAGCATTCCGAAGGCAGAAAAGAAAAAAAAAATAATAATAATAATAATAATGACCAGAATCAGGTCTCGTTTAAAAAAAATAAATAATAATAAATAAATAATATCCACTTTAGTAACATGCGAAAACGTATGCAGCAAAAACATAAACAATTTCAGGGCGACACGACCATTGTTATCATTATCATTATCATTATTATTATACATTAGTCACGCTTTGCAACAACAACAACAACAACAAAAACTAAAACAAAAACAAAAAAAAAAAAAACAATTTTAATGAAAACTATTTTCGACAACGTGCATTTCTTTCTTTCATTATTATTATTATTATTTTATTTTCTTAAATATGTTCAGGGCTTTACCAATGCAAGTCCAACATCTGTTTCTTCAGCGTAACTTTCTAGACGTAATCGATCGTGTTTTAGCTGCGAGAAAGTAGGAATATTTTTCTTTTTTATCTTTTCATGTCTAAATACGGTTTTTTTTTTTTTTTTTTTACAAATAATTTATTAAACAATAAGTACTACTCGTCTACTCGTCGTCGATTTTACTTATTATTATTGAAAAATTGTCATTCCTTTTGCATTTTGTCATCGAGTCTCAAATAATTTCTAGGAAAACCTTTGAAACCGACAAAAGACCTTCTCAGGAATCACAATTTACATTCGTTAAACAAGTTGGATTGTGTGTCAACAACAACGAGTTAAGACTAATATATATATATATAAAAAAAAGCCTAGTGAACCTACATCCGGTGGTTAAAACAAAATTAACACTAAAAATATTATTATTATTATTATTACTACTCATTTTTAGAAAATGAGATACAGAATTCACATAAATGACTCACCTTTCTTGGAGGCGGTACTGGATTGAGTTGAGTTGTACCATCGACTTCACTCGACATTGAAGATAAACTTTCGTTTGATCTTCCGTGAGATAATCTACTTGGCGTGGGAGGTGGAGGACCTAACGGCCTTTTAATACCTGAAAGAAAAAAAAACGGTTTTTTTTTTTTTAAAATTACTGGAAAAATTTATCATTAAAAATCCCCGGTGAAAAATGAATAACCAATTCACCTGATAAATTTGGCGTGCAACTCCCACTCCTATCGACCGGTTTCAACGTGGGCGGTATTTCGTTGGGAGGAAGAACCAATTTCGCACCGACCAATTGTTTTGTAGAATCAGTGCTTGGACTTCTTTTGTGCATATTTCCAGAATGATAACTTGCTGCTTATACATGTTAACAATTTTTTAGGAGGTTTTTTTTTTTTTTGGTAAATTTAACGAAAGTCATTGTATATGATTCTTACTTGAAATATTAGGTGGTGGTGCGTTTTGTAGCGGATCACTGGGAGTTCTACTATGACTACTACCTATTGATCCATACAGACTGGTAACTGGAGGAAGTGGAGCAGCCCTTTTTTTTAAACTAACACTAATATTAACTGGTTGAACTATAATCGCGGAAAAAAAATTAAGGGATGAATTAAAAAAAATTAAAAAAAAATTTTTTTGTTTTACGCATTAATAAAATTTCAAAAAAAAACCATCATCACCAATATGAGGTTTCCTTCCGAGGGGTAACGGTGGCGGCATCGTCAACCTTCCTGAAGATACGTCAACGGATTCACATGTTCTCGACCTGTGGTTAACCGGACTATCCCCGCCGGCAAAACTCGGAGGTCTGGATCTGCATTTTTTTTCAGGAGTGATGCAACCGTTCTGTAATTTTTTGCACTCCGGAGTTAAAAATCGAATTTATAGTTTCATTTTTTTAATTTTTTGCAAATGTCTTACCCTTTCGTCAACAATCGTTTCATCATCCGAAAGATCGGTGGATCCTTCGTCGTGTGAAAGATTCCATTCGATATTGACATTTTCAAATAATGTTTTCTTTCGTTGGAGTGCGTGTCTCAACTGAAATAAATCATACAAATTTGAAAAATTATTATTATTAGAAAATTTATTACAACGACTTTTTTACTACTCACCAATTCTTCGCATGATTCATGCCTTTTGTCGATAGCTATATCTAAAGATGTTCGATTTGTTGCATTTTTTTTTAAAGGATCAGCTCCGCTTCTGAGCAAAAGTTTCATACACTCTACTTTGTCATGAATGGCACAAAGATGAAGGGGGGTATTGAGTGAATTTTCTTCAAATAAAAATAAAAAAAAAAAAATAAATTAGATACTTTTTCATTTTCTTTCAATTAATAATTTTATAAAACAAACCTAAATTATCTTGGACTAGCGAAGTCGGTTTATCTAATCCTGCAGGAGGCATATTTTGAACTAAAAAATCGACTAGATGAAGAGAATCTCCCATTTCCCGTAATATCGATAAATGAAGGGCAGTTTCACCGATTTCCTAAAAAAAAAAGAAAATTTTTTTTTCGTTTTTTTTTTAAATAAAGCCAAACATTATGAGAAAATAATAAATTTATGCGTAGTAATTTAAACTTACAGATGTTGGTAACTCTGCAGTGAGATCGACACCTTCAGCATAAACTTGGAGTAAATGATGAAGACTTTTATTATTGACAGCGTGTTCTAATTCGCTTAATAAGTCATGCTCATCTCTACATAATCTTCTGACAAATTTGTGATCGACGTATTTGGCTCTGATGTATTCGTACCTTTCTTCCCTGAATTAAAAAAAAAAAAAAAAAATTTTATATAAACCTAATACAATACGACGGAATCTACATGTTTTCCTAATTTACTCACATGGAACTGTATGGGGTTAATTTGGGACCGTGAAGATTTGCTTCCATCACGCTATTGAAAGCTTGATTTGTCATATACCTGGCCAGCAGAAGTTGTGATGTACCTATATTGTCTAAAGTAAGACTTTGTATACGTGAAATGTGAACGCCGAGGTCCCTGTGAATGCCGGAACATTCTATGCAAACTATGATGCCAAAATGAGTTGATAACCACGTTGGATCTGATTTTTAAAAAGCAAAAATTCACTTTAAATTAAAATCAATCAACCGCCATTTTGAATTGTAAATATATAGATTGACATAAATTTCCACACCATTCATAGAATTGCAATCACAGCAAGCATGATTTCCAGGTAACCTTTGCACCAGTCTTATAATGGCTTGTTGTAGCTCCCATAGACTAGATGATTCATTGGTTTTTCCCCCGCTGTCGTCGAACGCTCTTCTCAGCGCGGTATCCTTACAGTTAACCAAAACTGAAAGCCATGCTCTTTGGTCTGATTCGTCTTCGGCTTGAAAGTGGTACGTTCGGTTATCTGAATTTAATTTTTCACGCATTAAATCGAATACGAATAAAAATGTCGTTCATAACACTTTGCAATGATCATAAAAAATGAACTCACATGAAATTAAATCGAAGCATCTTTTATCATCTCCGACGTTTTTAATTTGACACGTTAATAAATTAACTCTTGTAGGTGGTTTAGATTCGTCAGCGTGAAAAATATCTAGAAATCCTTCGGCTTGAACGCGACATTTTCGCTTTTGCCAAACTCTTCGCATTTTACCCTCAGACTTTTTAAATAAATGCCCTGCAAAAAAAAAAAAAAAAAAAAAAATTTCATATTAAACATTTTTTTTTTTTTTCAATGAAAACCAATGATAAAAATTGTTTTTGTAACACCGGGTAAATCAACCGTAAATTTCAAAAGTACTTATTTAAAAAAAAAAAAAAATTCGTTTTCAAACTAATTTAACACTTGGACGAGTATTATTATAATTCAGGAAATCGTTACGTGGGGTCACGAGGAGAGAAAAAGAAAAAGAAAAAATTCATATTCAGGTATAAAAATAAAATACAACAACAATAGAAACCTGATCTTGTCAATCCCGCATGTTTATCTCCTTGTAATTGATGCAAACTATATCCAGTTCCGCTTTTTTCCGTTCCAGGTGTGCCTATACCAGGTGCTGTCATTTCTTTTTCAAAACCAGGTGCGCTCCTCAAAACATTTCTCAACTCTGATAACTGTTTTCTCTCTTCATCTTGTTTCTGCCTTATTTTTTGCAATTTGATTGATAAATCAGCAACGTAATTACCGAAATGTTCGATCGTTTTCAGTCCATCTTGAAAATAACTAAAAAACAATAAATAATAGCCGAATAATAATAATAATAATAATAATAATAATAATAATAATAATAATAATAATAATGAGACAGACTTAATTAAAAAACAAAACCTTTGTTTACAATTTTTTTTTTTTTTTAAATTAAAATGTTTTTTCATATAATTGGTCTCTTCCATTGTCTCATTTTAAACCGTTTAAACGTTTACTGGAAACAATTTATTGCTTGACCTTTGACCTTTGGGATTTTTTCGTAAAAATATGTATCATTTTTTTTTTTTTTTTTTTCCCACTTACTTTGTTTGAGCGTGATAATATTCGACCAAATGCTGGAGAAGTTCGATTCCTTTTTTCGTTTTGATTTCGTTCACTTTGAGTAGGTATTCGCACATTTGTAATTGAAACAACCTCCTTTCTTTTTCCATTTCTTCGGCAATTTCCGCTGATGTGATTTCCGTTCTTATTAAACCTGAAAATTTCATCCTAATGTAAATACGTACATATAATTTTTTTTTTTTAAAAAACAAAATAAAGTAATAAAATTTCACACCAGCTTCTTTGGCTTGTTGCTTTTTTTCTTTTTCAATTTTCGCATATTTCGTTTCGTAATCTTTCCATGCTTTGTCGAACGGCCTTTTCAAATCCCCTTTAACCCCTCTTAAATCACCCTTGAGAAGACTTTCGACGGGAAACATGACGATGTTGTTGATGTTTTGCATCTGGAACGCAAAACGAAACGAAAAGGATCCGTGTAAAAATTGACCCTGATATCGTTTTCCCGGGATATATTCGTGAAATATACTCACCAAAGTTTTCATTAAAGCCGATAATTCTTTCGTGACGACGGAAAATTTCATGAAAGCTGCCGCTATATCCGGCTCCTGATCTTTATTCAATGAAGCAGTTCCCAATCGATCTAACGCTCTGGACAGGTACATTTCATTGTCTACGTGAGCTGGAAAAATTAATAACAAAATCATTTTTTTTTTTTTTTTTTTTTCCCCCCTCTTTTCATATCTTCCACAAACTCTTCGTTTTTTTTTTACTTTTTATATTTTTTCCACCGAATAAAAAAACGTACGAAAATTATTATTATTATTTAAACTGTCATTTAACCGTGTCCGGATGTGGGCCATACGTATAATAATAATAATAATAATAATAATAATTTTCGTACGTTTTTCTGCGGTTTTTAGTTAGGCTCGCCCACATTTATTTCGCGTTATCGTTTTTGAATGTAAATTCGACAGCTTGAAACTTAGCCAAAGAAATATTTCTATTGCCTTGGTACACTTACTATATTTTTTTTTTTTTTTTTTTTTTTTTTTTTAAACAGGAAGCAAATGTCAATCGTCGCCACGTCGAAAGATTTAAATTTTATTTGAACGCGGTATCGATCAATCGAACTAATTATTATTATTATTATTATAATTATAATTTTATTTAACGCTTACCATTGCCCGAATTATAAATGGCTTTGATTGCCTTTTTCATCTTAAGCAATCCATCTCTGTCGTAGTCCAGAGTCTGGAAAGATAAAAAAAAAAAAAAAAAAAAAAAAAAATATTATTCTCATTACCATTTACGTACTCTTGCTCGCCTGAATTTTTCTCCCCCCCCTCCCGCCCCCACTTCGTGACAAATTATGACTTATTCGTTTTCGAAATGTTTTTAAGGTTCGATATAGTTAAAAAAACCGTCATGTCAAACATTTTTAATAAAAAAGAAAAAAAAAAAATTTGCAAATAAAAAAAATTTTTATTTGATGGTTTTCATTACTCAACATCGAAAGTTTTCAATGATTCGAAACGTGATGTTATTTTTTCATTTTAATTAGATTTCGATTTAGAATGTCCATTTTAATTTTTCTTTTTTTTTTTTTTTAAACGCTAACGACATTTTCTATACGATTTTTTTTTGGAAATAATTCGGTGATGTCGCACTACTTTTCCTCTCTCTCTCTCTCTCTCTCTCTTTCTCTCTCTTTCTCTCTCTCTCTCTCTCTTTCTCTCTCTTTCTCTTTCTCTTTCTCTCTCTTTCTCTTTCTCTTTCTCTCTCTTTCTCTTTCTCTCTCTTTCTCTTTCTCTTTCTCTCCCTTTCTCTCTCTCTCTTTCTCTTTCTCTCTCTTTCTCTTTCTCTCTCTTTCTCTTTCTCTTTCTCTCTCTTTCTCTTTCTCTCTCTCTCTCTCTTTCTCTCTCTCTCTCTCTCTCTCTCTCTCTCTATTAATTTTCGTAATTTTTATTTGCCGATTTCGAACAAAAAAGAAAAAAACAAAGTTATTTGATATTGAAATTAAATACTCTTTAACTTTGAAATTGTATTTCCTTTCCCAATAATAATAACAACAATAATTATAATAACAATAACAACAACAACAACAACAACAACAACGACAACGACAAACTCTTTTCCCGAATACCTATTACGGAATCAATAATAAAAAATTAATTTTTTTTTTTTGTATTGAAATATGCAATGAAATGACTTGTTTACAACACATAAAATTTATCAAAACTATATTTTAAAAAAATGTGTTAATAATAATAATAATAATAATAACAAGAGAGAGAGAGAGAGAGAAAAAAAAAATTTTTTTTTTTTAATATTTTGTCCTTGTGTCGATCGACGAGTATCGAAAAACCGTGATATATTGATTTGCCCGTACAAAAAAAAATTTTACCTTGTTATTATTATTATTATTATGTGTGTGTGTAATTATGTAATCCCGAGATTAAGTGGGCAAAAACAAAAAAATTATTATTATTATTATTATTATTATTAATACTTGTTGATAAAACCCTCCTTCTTTTCTTTTCGTCTTTTTTTTTATCAAATATTTATTTTTAAAACATTTCAAAATGTGATTCACCATCGATACAAACAAACATATTATTATTATTATTATTATTATTATTATGTAGTGTCTTTTTTTTTTTAACCGATTTAATCAATCAATAAATAAATAAATAAACCATTCGATGGGTAAATTAAAGAACACATAATAATAATAACAACGTAAATGATTTTGTTGTTGTTGTTGTCGTTTTTAATTGGATAGAAACACTTAATTCAAAAGAATTTAATCGAATATTAAGAAAACCCTTTAAAATATTATTATTATTATTATCGTTTCTAAAAAAAAAAAAAAAAATTAAACGACTCGTAATTAATAAACGTTTTTAAAATACTTTAAATTCCTTGAAAACTTTTTTTTTTTTTTTTTCTTGTTTTTACACAAAAGAAAATAACCAATATTATTATTATTATTATTATTATTATTATTATTATTATTATTTAATTGCTATTAAGAAAAAAAAAAATGTTTAAAAAAAATATTAAAAAAAACAAAACAGAGGCCTCTCGGTATACAAAAAAAAAAAATATATAGAATCTGACCTTAATATTGCTTAATCTCATGACTGAATTGTTAAAGGACATTATAGTCTATTTAAAAAAAGATTCTAATAATTAGTTGTTATATCTGCATTCCATTAATAATTTTTTTTTTTTTTTAAAAACAAAATAAAAACTGTTAAATATGAAGAAGAAGAAGAAGAAGAAGAAAAAGAAGAAAAAGAAAAACAAAATTTTCTTTTTTTCCCTTCGTCCAATCGAGATTAATATATCTACTGTTATTAATAAAGACGATATTTAATTAATTTAAAATAATAATAATAAAAGAGAGAGAGAGAGAGAGAGAGATGTCATTCGTTTACATATTAATTTTTTTTTTTGCAAATCATGTCTTTAACTTTCTAACAATTATTATTTAATTTCCCCTCCCCTCTCCCTACCCCTCCCTCCCCTCCCTGACGACAGGTGATGATGATGATGATGATGATAAATCGAATTAATTTTTAATTTATAATAATTTACATAAGTAATTCGAAAAAAACAAAAACAATTCCCTTACAACATAAAGTTTATTTTAACATGAACTCAATTTTTTTATTTAAAGTGAGAGAGAGAGAGAGAGAGAGAGAGAGAGAGTGAGAGAGAGAGAGAGAGAATAATACAAATTATTAAAACTACTCACAAACGAAAAAATTTAAAATTCCTGGCATGAATTTAAAAAAAAAAAAAAAAAAAAACTAGATGAAGACACACCCTGAATAAATCACAAAAAAAAATTTTTGCATTCAATTCTATAATTTTAAAAATATTTTAAACGAAATGAATTTAATTTAATAAAAAAAAAAAAAAAAAAATTGAAATTAAATTAAAATTTTTTTTTTTTTTAAATTAACAGGCCAGATAAAATTAAAAGTAGGACAACAACAACAACATATTCTCTCAATAATAATAATAATAATAAATAAACGATATTAACGTATCATTCGATAAATAAATTTTTTTTAAAAATTAATACAAATAATTAAATGAAAACAATTATTATTATTATTATTATTTGGAAAAAATAGAAATTTTTTTTTTAGTGCGAATTTTTTGAAGGGTAGGCAGGGTTGCAAATCGATATGAGGTTAATTTTTAATTTAATGGTATAAATTTTTTTTTGTAGCAAAATTTTAAATAATTTTTTGTTAATTAAAAAAAAATTAACGTTGTGATAAAATTTTATCGTAGTAATTTTTTTTTTTTTTGGGGGGGGGGGGAATTCAAATAAGACTTATAAAAAAAGAAAAAAAAGAAAATTTTCTTACCTCTTCTAAATTGGCGATTGTTTGCCTGCAATCAGCCATTCGAGAAACAAAGGTTGAAGTCGTAGGAGAATTATAATCCTCTCTCGTTTCATCAACGAATTCATTAACCAAAATCAAACCCGGCATTTTTAATTAAATTGTGATTAAACGTATATCACAAAAAAAAAATTTTTATACGAGATTATTAATCACTTTTATACATTGCCAAGGTTTTCTTTTTAGAGAACTTATACAAATAAAAACACATGGTAGCCATATTTGTATTGAATTTAGTATTGCCAACCTAAAATCAGAATTGACTGTTAATTTTTCAAGTTTTCGTGTTAAAATACTTGTTTGTATAACAAAAAATAAATTATTTTCATTTTTATTTTATATTAATTTTTTTTTTTTTTATCAATTAAATATCTTTTATAGTTTAAAATAGTTTTATAATTTTTTATTTAGCTTAATTAAAATAAACTTTACTTTTTTTTTTTCCTATTTGAAGTTGTTTTTTTAAATTATTTACCAAAGAAACTTTAATATTATTATTATGGCTAATAATTGTAAAATGTTAAATATGTGTTTTTATAAATTAAATTTTAGACCGAGTGCATTTTCAAATAACGAAAATAAATTAAATACTTTGAAAAAGACATGCAAACATTTTACAAGTAATACGGTATTAATTAATAATGCCATAATTGTTTTTAATTCTAAGAGAAACACATCTTCTTCTTCTTGTAATAAAAACTTGATTAAAAATATCAACAAAAGGGAAAAAAGTAATCTTACTCATGATTTGATTAAATGGTCAATCGGTGAAAATATATCATTTGTGTCATTTGCGAGACTATTAAAAATTTTGAAATCAAACAATGTTGAAAATATTCCGATAAATTTCAAAAAAACTTTAAACAATATAGAAAATAAATTTATCATTCAAGACATGCCTCCAGGTACATATGTTCATTACGATTTATCTGAAAATTTAAAATTTTTAATTAATGTTTTAAACAAAGACGATAATAATTTTTTAAACGGTGATGAAATAAATTTAAAAATTTTTATCGATAGTTTTTTAATATCGAAAAAATCGAATGATATTTTTTGGACCATATTAGGATCTGTAAATGACCTCAACAGCTTGATTTTTATGATAGGAATTTATAAAGGAATTTTGGCTCCGAATGATTCTAATTTATTTTTAAAACAATTTGTTATAGATGTTCAAAATTTATGCACAAATGGCTTGATAGTAAATGATCGAAAGTATAGTGTTAATGTTAATAGAATAATATGTGATGCTCCTGCAAAGTCGTACGTTTTAAATTTTAAAGGATGTACAGGGTATTCAAGCTGTACAAAATGTACAACACATGGAGAACCTGTAGGTTCTAAAGTATGTTTTCCTACAAAATCAACACTTAGAACAGATGATGATTTTCTATCTAGTTGCATTTATAGAAATAATATAAAAACTGCTTTGTTAAATATACCTAATTTTGGAATCGTTTCTAAAATGCCTCTCGATTACATGCACTTAATTTGCCTTGGAGTTTTGAAACAGTTGATAAGTCTGTGGGATAAAAATTATGATTTAAAAAAATCTAATGTTAATTTATTTAACATTATCAAATCTAGTCCTAAAGAATTTTACAGTAAATTAAAACCTTTCAGAGCATATAACTATTGGTCACCATCGCTACTGAGAGAATTTTTATTGTACTATGGTCCAATCGTAATGATTAATGTCTTATCACCAGAATTGTATCAAAATTTTTTACATTTACATGTCGCATGTAGGATATTATGCATGAACGATAAAAAAAATCTAACAGGATTTGCCGATAATATTTTACAAGAGTTTATATTGGATTTCATTAAACTTTATGGAAAAAGAGAAGTGGGACATAATGTTCATGGATTGTATCATTTAGTCGATGATTATAAACTTCATGGTACTTTAGACGATTTCAGTGCTTTTCAATTTGAAAAATTTTTAAAAAAGCTACAAGGTTTATTAAAAAAATCTAGAAAAAAATCTTTATCGCAGTTAGTGATAAAAACTTCACTTAATGATATATTAGAAAAAAGTGTCAAACAATATTTAAATGGTAATTATGTATTCGACATGCAAAACACTCAAAATTGCCCCAATGAAAAATTAATGGATGTAAATGTTAAAGAATACAAAGAACATAAAAAATTTAAATTGAAAGGTTTTGAAATCATTTTAAACGATGAAAATGACAGTTATGTCATTTTAAAGAATCAGAAAATCGTTAAAGTAACAAACATATTACAATTGAAAAAAACCAATGATTACTTTATAGTTGGAAAAATATTTTTACAAACTTTTAATTTTTACAATTCACCGTTAAATTCAAACGAATTACAAATTTTTCGTGTTAATAATAATAATCTGTCGGTTGATGTGAAAATATGGCCTATTCATATGATAGAAAGAAAATGCATGAAAGGAAATTTAGGAGAGGGAAAAAGTATTATAATGTCAATTTTGAATCATAATTAATTATTTACATACTTAAATAAATACTTTTAAATACGCTTCGATGTTTTTTTTTTTTTTTTTTCAATTAAAACCCGTTTTCCTTTCGTTTTAACGAGAAAAAAAAAAATTTTGTAACGGTCCGCGTTCGAGAATTAAAAAAATTTGAAAACTTCAATTGAGGGCTTGCAAACTTTTAAAAATGAAAAAAAAAAAAAAACGTACGTACGTGAAATTTTTGTCGTGGTTTTAGAAAATGTATTATTTATTATTTTTAACTTTTAAATTAAAAGTTGGTTTTTATTTTTCATTTATTTTTCTTTTTTTTTTAAAAATAATAAGGTTTTATTATTATTATTATAGTAAAAATAATGTATACAAAAGGTGCATCGACATTTTGTTCAGTTATTGGTACTGCTTCGTCAGTTATTTATTTTAGCACGACTTATTTTTGTGGTGAAAATAATAGAACTTCGTTAAAAAAGTAATCATTGATATTTTTATGTATAAATAAATTTTGTTTTATTAAATAAGTAAAAACGATTAATAATTTCATTTTTTTTTTTGTTTAATATTAGGAAAGATTCGTCTGATCCTATACCTGAAAACGTATCGAATTTAGTTTTAGACGTTATGAATGACATGAAATTGAATAATGATGAAATAAATTTAGTTGAAACGATTGTCGTTAAAGGAATCGATGTGAAACATTTTGGAATATTAGGTTTTAGTAAAAAATTATATTTGGGTATTCCAAAAAATTATTTTTACGATGATGAAAATAAAGTTACAGAATCGGAATTTAAATCAATCGTAATATGATAATGAAAATTGAATTTGTTTCCTATATTTACAAGGTTTTCCCTATAAGAACTCATTTAAAATTATTTATTTTGCAGTTGAAAAACGTTAATTTAGATAAAATATCATTCGAAGAGGAGAAAATATTAAAAAAACGCGTTTTCATATCGGAAAAAGCCAAAAAATATGCGATAGCCAACGAAATTTATTTATCAAAACATTTTACTTTTTACATACAGGGAATCATTTTCTGGATTGTTGGAATTTTATCAAGCATGAAATTGAAATTGTACAATCCGAAAAAACATCCCAGCGTGGCCAAACATTCATATTTTTTTTTATTAAATTTTTATGGGTTTTACACAATGTTTTGCATATTGTCATACAAACTATTAGGCTCTTATAAATTAAGCAGCGCCGATAGTTATTTGGCAAGTTTGGGCAGTGATTATGTTCAAGGAGGTATTGAATATTATAAAAATTTGTTAGATAGAAATAAACAAATTAAATATTTAAACAATAGAACGCCTTATTTTAAAAATGGTGAATTTTTTGTTAAATACATACCCTGGTCAGATTATGTACCACTTTCCATAAGGTTAAAATATTTATCTGACATTTTTGAAGCACAAAATAATAATAAGCCATATCCTAGTAAACAGTCTTATTTTTTTTATCCTTAATTAATAAATAAATATTCAAACTCTCAAATACAAAAAGAGTTGACAAATTAAAATTAAGTCAAAATTGATAATTTTTCTATAAATTATTAAAATTTTACAACATGTTACTTTTGTCTGTGTCTTTTTTTTTTATATTCTTCTTACTTTTATATATAACTAGACAACTAACTAATTTTAAATAGATTATTGGTAATAAAATTGATTTATTTAAAACAATATTTTGATTGATTAATCCATAAATAATTAATATGAAGTCCTTACCTGTACTTACTACATAAAAAACATTTTCTCATAATAACCGTTTAATGATTTGAATCATTGAACAAAATTAATTTAGAAAATCATTTAGAAAAAATCTAAACTTCGATTTCAATCGATTAATTATTAATTATTAACTTTCCCGATGTAAATTTTTCACTTCAAACTCTTCAAATCCCATAAATATTTTCAAAAGAAAAAAATTGTAAAACGTTACCTGTAAATGGAAGCCACCATTTTTGCTTTTATTTCCAAAAAATTAACCACTCGTAACACTAATACATTATTAAATAACTTTTCATTATTTAATTAATCGAAAAACAAATTTAAAACAACCATTATTACCGAAAATATATTAAAAAAACAATTTCAATCACTAATACGCGAAACGTATTCTCACATCTTTACTCCATTTTGACGTGATCGTAGTTTTCGCGCCAAACGGCAAAATTTTAAACTAACAATTCGAGAACGTAAATAAAAACCGTTAATTCGCTTTAACCGCGAAATTATTTATTAAGAATTAAAAAAAAAAAAAGGAAATTATAAATAAATAAATAAATAAACAATTTGAATTTCAATTAAAATTTTTCGAACTTCGTGTATTATCATTATCATCATTAATATTGTTATTATTTAAAAAACTTTACTTTTTACAACAAAAAAAAAAAAATAATAATAATTAAAAATACATTCACTTCCGCCATTGTATTACAACTAAATTATTATGGAATTAATTCATCTAAATAAACTAACAATTTTATATATATATAAAAAAAAATTATTATTATTAGATAAAATAAAAAGTGAAAAAAAAAAAAAATATAATAACTAATTTCAACTAAAAATATAAAACTGTAAAATTTTCCATTTTCCTTTTCTTTAAATTTTAATAATAATAATTATAGCAATTATGAAAGAAGAAAATCCCTTTGAAAAAAAAAAAAAATGGATACAAATTTTATGTAACGGTTTGATTAATTGTTTTACTAAACTAAAAACTATTTATTTATTTATTTATTGATCAAATTGACTTGCTTAATTAATTTATTAAAAATAAAAAAAAAAATCCTTAAAACATACAAAAAAAAAAAAAAAAAAAAAAAACTAAAAAATTAATTTATTATCTTTTCTCCTATATTTATATCCATCAAAATTATTATTAATAACCTTTTAACCCTTTCTCGTTATAGTAAAAACCAACCCCCTCCTCCTCCTCCTATTTTTTTTTTTTATTTATATAGCACCTAACAACAAAATAAAATTATTATTATTATTATTATATTTATATAATCAATCATCTTTCTAATTATTTTACTTTGTTCCGTTTGTTTGAATCAATTTTCTTTCCTTTTTTTTTTTTATGTAAAATTGAATGAATGAATGAAATTTAATAATAATAATAATAATGTTGCAAAAGAACAAAGTCTGTGTTATCAATTTGATTGATAATTTCAATTTAAAAAAAAAAAAAAAATTTTTTTAAATTTTATAATCATTTCTCCCGTTTCTATTTATTATTTGTATACGTGTGTTTGTTTGTTTGTTTGTATGCTTGCTTGTTTGTTTAGTTTCTCTGCATGATGCTTTTCACCGAGAAACGTTTTTTCTTTTTTCTTTACATCATTGAAATAAAAACCTTTTACACACAAAATACCAAGTTTTTTTTTTTTTATAAACGTTTCACGTGAGATTAATCGGAGTTTCCTTTGAATTTCTTTGAATTCCCTGAGCTATCGCTGTTAAAATTGCTAGATCTTTTGAAACCTCCTCCTCTTTTATTATCGCCTCCGCCGCCGAATTTCCGAGGACCACCGCCTCCTCGCCCGCGAAAACCTCCTCTAAAACTACCACCACGTCCGCCTCTGAAATCGCCTCCACCTCCTCCTCCTCCTCCTCTTCCGCCTCTACCTCCACCTCTTCCTCTGAAACTACCACCGCCCCTTCCGCCACCACCACCACCACCTCCTCCTCCTCTCTTTCCTTCTTTCGGACTATCTGGTGACATGACTTTGGCCGGATTCACTCGGACTTCTCGACCATTTAATGTTTTTCCATCTAACGTAAGTGCTTTCTGCAATTCGAAAAAAACAAAATGAAATGAGTTTGCACGCACACGCACACGCACAAATTTTTATTTAAACCTACCCTGTAAGCTTCTTCCGTTTTCAACTGTAAGAAAGCTATCGATCTTGGTTTTCCAAATTTATGAGGTCTCTTAATCGTGTCTATTTCGTCTTCACTCACTGCCGTCAGTATGAAAGTTTTTAATTCTTCTTCCGTTGTATTAAATTCAACATTACCAAAGAAAAGTCTCAAATAATCATATTCTTTTTCCTCCGATTCTTCCTTATCCTTTTCTACTCCTTTTTTTTCCTTTTTTCCCTTTTTCTCTGGCTGGGATTTTTCTACAAGGGGGGAGAGGGAAAAAAAAAAATTCAAAGCTTTAAATTCCTCAATTCGATAATTACCAATAATAATAATAATATTAATTAACGTTTTTTTTGTTTACCCTTTTTTTTGTTCATGTTTTCCTTTTCGCAACTGCTATCTTCATCTTCGTCCTCTCCAACTTTTTTCCCTCCTTTTTTATTTAATTCTTTCTTTTTACCCTTCATTTTCAATCCGCTTTTTTCTTCTTCTTCTTCTTCTTCTTCTCCATCATCATCCTCTTCATCTTCTTCATCATCGTCGTCGTCGTCGTCTTCATCGTCTTCATCTTCATCATCCGATCCTTCTAAATTACCCACGAGTTCATCGATATCGTCGTCGTCGTCGTCGTCATCATCATCTTCGTCCTCGTCTTCATCATCATCATCATCTTCTTCTTTCATATTTTTTTTATTTTTACCTTTTTGATTCATTAATTTTTTTAATTTTTCTTTCATCGCTGAATTTTTTTTCACTTTACTTTCATCCAATATTAAACCACCTTCCTCATCGTCATCATCTTCATCATCATCATCATCATCGTCCTCGTCGTCGTCTGACCCTTCTAAATTTTCCAATAGTTCATCATCATCATCTTCGTCGTCGTCTTCATCTTCTTCTTCCATATCAACATCGTCATCATCATCTTCATCATCATCTTCAGCATCTTCATCATCTTCATCAGTTTTTTTATTCGATTTCTTTCCCTTTCCTAAATTTTTCTTATTCGGACCATCTAATTTAGCTTTTTTACCTTTAGGCTCTCCTCCTTGTTTTTTATTTTTCGCCATTAATTCTTGTTCCTGAAAAAAAAAAAAAACAACAAAATTTAATACTTGTATTGATTCATTTTTTTTCTTTTTCTTTTTGTTTTAATAATAATAAAATAACCTGAGAAGCCGATGCTGCTTTTTTAGCTTCAGCTTTTCTCGCACGTTGTAATCTTTTTTTTTCACTTTTCGTTAATTTTCCAGTGAATGGAGGCTTGGTATCACCAAGTTTTAAAGGTATGTAATTGCTAACATCATTCTCATTTTCTCCTCCCTACATGTCAATTTCCCAGAATTTTATTAATAAATATACACATAATGATAACATTTCATAAATATTTATAACAAAATGGTGGGGACATTTTTTTTTTTTTTTTTTTTTTTGGATAAATCGAGTGCATTCAGCCATTTTTTTTTTATTGCAGTCACAAAATACTAAAGAACATATATAAGAAGTGTGCGATACAAATTGTTTGAAAAACGAATAAACGAAATTGTTCGAATATAGAAATAACAAAATTACAAGAATAACTCAGGCATGCAGGTATCATACCTGCTTGCTCTTCTTCCTCAATCTTTTTTTTTGGTTTTTCAATAATTTAGCTAGAATATCATTATTCATAAGCAAATTTTCAGCCTATAAAAATAATTCCTAGCATAATTATTTAAAAGAATCTATTACTCGATTACTCCATTTTTCTAAGATATTATTTCATTCAAACAAATAAAAAAATAATTAATAATAATAATCTTACCTTTTTTTGTTGGCCTACAACAGGTTCTTGCTTTTGTGGCGTTTTACCCTTGTTCTTCTTTTTACTAGAATTTAATTGATTTTGCTGAAACGAAACATGCAACAAAATTAACATCATGTTTAAGTCATCCAAATACTACTAATTATAGACATATACATACTTGGTTTTCTTTATTGGGACTCTTTTTCGATATTCCATTGACTGGTGTGCCGACAACTTTTTCCTAAATTTTAAAAAATAAATCTTAATGTGCGAAAAATTTTTCATATGAAATCGAAAAAAAACTCATCACATGAATTAATCATACCTTTGGCTTGTTTGGGGTATTTAAATTATTCATTTTTTCTTTATTTTGTTTTTTCCCACTTTTAGGAGTACCTTTTTGAACCATAGATTCAGGTGTATTAGCAATAGCATTTTTCAATTTTTCCTTGTTTGGTGTTTTTTGTGGTTTCATATTAACATTGGATAAACTTTTCTTTTTCTTGGGACTCTCATTCACAGCAGCTGCGGCTTTAGTCATTTTGAATAACTAAATAAAATAAAAATGATGTATGCAAATCATAAATAAAATCGATTATTAACTTCACGTTGAAATGATGAAATGAGAATCACGTTTACACCACGCTACCTAAATAAAACTTTAATAAAAAATTAAAAGCACGTGGACATACCCACAAGTTAAATTTTATATAAAAATAAAAAAACGAATCAAATTTATAAAAAAAATATAAAAATATTTCATTACTAATAATAAATCCAATAATATCGTGAATCAAGCGGCAAAATTTATAATAAGAATTCGATAGTTTCAAACCACTGTACTGGTTACACATTGATTTTGAACTAATATTTACCATTTAAAAAATGATGGCGGAAAAAAAATTTAAGCGAAAAATAATTAATTAACGTAAAATTTAAAATAAACCCATTGCTAACTTACCTTTATCAAATAATTATTTGATAAAATAAAAAATAAAAACTATTAGAGTTTAAGACCCCTCGTTTTACACGATAAAAGCCTAGTTAAATGATATAACGGAAACGGAAACTGACACTTTACGTCATGTCGCGCGATTATAAAAATGTCGCACAACGGGAAAAATTCAATCCAATCCGCCAATTTCAAATCAAAGCAAAAAAACCGTTAACGTTTTTCATTGTTTTTAATTTTTTTTTTATGGTTAAAAAAACATGGAAAGGAATAAATTTAGTGGATTTAAAAAAAAAAAGAAATTTTATCAGAACACTTGTAAATCTATTAAATCAAAAAAATGCTTTTAGTTTAGTTTTAGTTTTTAATAATTTACATGCAAACAATCTCTCACAATAAAATCAACATATCAATTACATGAACTTTTTAAATATCTAGAAATTAATTTTAAAAAAAATTTTTTTCTCATTAATAATCATCGATTCCTTAATAATTTACATAAATTATTTAACCTGCTAATTATTAATAATAATAATAATAATAATAAGTTATGTATTGATGATAACTTAAAAAAAAAAACATAAAATTTTAAATTACAAATCCACAAAACTTATTATTAAAAATAATAATAATAATAAATGCTAGGAAAATTATTAACCTGGTTTTATTTAATATTAATCAATAATAATAATAATAATTAATAATAATAATAATAATAATAAAAATAATAATTACAAAATTAACAAACAAAAAAGAAAAAGAAAAAAAAATTAATTACTGAACACTATCATCATCATCATCATCGATTAAAATAATAATAATAATAATGATAAGGATAACATATTAAATAAAGGGACGTTATTGAATTTTCCCTCTCGTCAAAGGGTTATTAATTAATAAATAAATAAATAAATAATTTAAATACATAATACATAAAATTAAAATAATATCAAACGTTTCCATTACATATATTTCATTATTATTATTATTATTTTATTACGTCATTCATTCCATAGATGCTTTACTTCTCATTATCATCATCATCATCATTATCATCATCTTCCAAATTTTAATAGAATTTTATTAAATAAAGAGTGAAAAAAAAATAAAATAAATAAATAAAATCCTTTTAATACACAAGTTCCTGTTATCAAAAATAAAAAATAAATAAATAACGAATCAAATGATAACAAAATAATAATAATAATAATAATAATAATAATAATGATAATAATAATAATAATAATAATAACAATAATTTATTTAAATTTCTTTTTTTTAAATATTAATAATAACATTTTACTAAGTTTTTTGTTTCTAATCAATTTAACTAACATCAAAGTATAAAATGTTAAAAATACCCCCCGAACGAATTTTGGGGAGCAGGAGGAAGGGAGGAAGGGGGAGGAAAGAATGAACGTGTTAAAAAACATTTATAAACCCGAGTAATAATAATAATAATAAATGATTTGTAATCTCGATGATATACAAAATTATTACTCGTTTGTATATACATAAAAAATTGGAAGATTATTAGCAGAAAATTTCGATCGGGATAATAAATAAAATTTTGAGCGTGGCACGCACTCACGCACTCACCCACGCACACTCTAAACCATATACGCGACGATTTAAAATTAAATAGAAATCATTATTATTATTATTATTAATTTTTTCGTTTATATACGCGTGTGTAATAATAAATGCAAGCTAAACATGTTTTTTTTTTTTTTTTTTTTTTTTCTTCCATTCTTAGAGTCATATATATATATATATTATTTTTTAATACAATAGTTATTTATTTATTAATAATTTAAAGCTATTTTATTATTATTATTATTATCATATAAAAAAAAACAAAATAATAATAATATTAATAATAATATCGTATTGATTTTATTTCATCGCAAAAAATTCGAAACGGCAGTGAATTTTTTTTTAAATAGTGCAAAAAAAACCGTGATTTGACATACATAAATATATATATAAAATTTTGCGATAATAATAATGATAATAATAATAATAATAATATTAATAATAAATGAAAAAATTAAGCAAAGGTCCCTTTAAATCCTGATGATGGATTTATTAAAATCCATATTTAAAAGTCTTGTTACGTTATTATTATTATTTTTTTTTTCGGTTATTTTATTTTAATAATAATAATATTATTATTAGTAGTGGTAGTGATAACGATAATAATGATAATGATAATAATAATATCGAATGAAAGAATCGGAATCGCAAAAAAAAGAAAAAAAAAGTATAAAAAATATTAATTGAGAAAAAAAAAAATTTCTTTTTTGTATAAGATTCATTATTATTATTAGTATTTTCAATCAATCAGTCAATCAATCAATCAATCAATCATTAAATTAAATTATTAATCAATCATCAAAACGAACTCAAGTCTATCTCACGTAATAAACATAAAATCATCAATATTATCTTTATTAATTAATTTATTTAAAAAATAATAATTTCGCGATTTAAATTCTTTCATTTAATAATAATAATAGTAATAATAATAATAATAAACGATTTAAAAAACGAACGAATGATTGAATGAATGAATGAATGATTGAATGATTGACGCGAAGCTTGCAAACTTAACGGTTATTACACATATATGTATATCGACAGGTATCTTTCGCTCGGATTGTTTATAAATTATACACAAACAATTCTCAATAAATAAATAAATAATAATTATCATCATTATCATTATCATTATCATCATCAGAGTGTTTTCGAAGCGTTAATACATAAAAATCGTGATTTGTCGTTAACGTATATCAATTAAGCCAACCCTACGAGTTACATTCTCCATTATAACGTAAAAAAAAAATAAATAAATAAATTTATGTATGTATGTATCTAAGCGAAAATACTAAATTTGATTATTAACACAGATTTTTAAACAATAATAATAATAATTAGTAGTAGTATTACAAAAAAAAAAGAAAAGAAAATCTCCATTTTTCTGAGCAGTTTTTCCTTTTTTCCTTTTTTCTCTCAAAAGCTACCATCTTAAACTACAATTTTTTAAAAATGTAATTTTCGCGCCAAATTTAAATGAAACAATATTTATATATATATAATTTGTATATATTTTTATAATAATAAAGCTAATGTTTGATTTTTAACATTTATAAAAAATGACGGAGTCATCATCATCATCATCATCATCATTATCATCTGATACGAAATTTTCTTTTTTCTGCTGTCACGACAACAACAACAAATAATAATAATAATGATAATTTCGTATCGTTTAACTTACTATATAAATAAATAAATATTTTTTTTTAATTATCATTACGTAACGTTTTCATACGTAATTATATAATATCTGACGCGTGAGTTTTCCATTTTTCCATTTTCCGACGGGAAAATTGAAAATTTTATTTATTTATTTATTTATTTATTCGATCCTTGCCTTGTATGTATTTTTCCATATTTCAGCCAATGTGACGGCCGAATGAAAACGATGGAAAATGCAAAGTGGAAGTGTAATCCGTTGTATCAATGACCATGCGAGAAATCCGTAAAAATCAAGCTGCAATTAAATAATAATAATACAAATCACAATAATAAAACCTGATTAAATTTTTGTAAGGTTACAAAATACCTGAACGGGATTCGCCATAACTTTTTGTGCCTCGAAAGTGTATATGATCCACATCGTCACGTTGCAAATGAGTAAAAACGTCACGATTTGTTTTCCCGGTTTCGTACGATCGTGTTCGGGAAGATGAACTCTTCGACGTGACACGTCCGCTATGAACATCATTTGCAAAACGACCTGGATAAAAAAATAAATTTAAACGTCATCGTCGCGACGTCGACAACAAAATAATAATAATAATAATGATAAATTTACTTGAAGGATTGCAATAGCTCCGGTGACCATGACTAGAAGATTAGGTTCTTTTGTGAACGCGTTCAAAGCTCCGGCTATAACGCTGAAAACGGCATAAACAAATAATCCAAAAGCAGAAACTCTCAACAGAATATCGTTCAACATATTTTGTTCGTCCGTTTTGAATTTTAACGATTGAACCCTAAAAAATTTTAATGTTTATTATTATTATCATCGCGAGAAAATCATAAAAATTATATAACGACGATTACCTTATGAAACCGATGATGATGGCGAATATGCTGAGTATCATGAGAGCGCAATGAGAAGCATCTGCCAGATAAATGGCCAACAATCCGAGATGATTATGTTGTATCAACACGAAAAACAAAATCAAACATATGAGAGAACCGACGAGCAAAAGAAGACCGAAGAAGAGTCCTTTGGATGCTCCCACGCAACCGACACGTCCGTGTTGTGCTCTGGCCAGTGCAACAGCACGATGCGACAGCATGACTTCCAATTTACGTTCCAAATCTTCTTCGACGACGTATCTGTAAAATCCCATTATTGTAAAATCAAAAGTACCAACATTGATCGATCAAAAAAAATGAAAAAGGCGTGCCTGGGATGTCGTCCGATGTGACGCCACATTATGTAAATAACGGCAGCACCGATCAGAGAATACTCGATTATGAACGGAAACAAATACGGAGCAGCATCCTGAACTATGGTACCCATTATGTTAACTCTACCGCAAAAAGTCAAATTATCCGCTGACGGATCCCCCATCAACATTTGAGGAACCGGAAGGAAACCACCGAAAGGAATATCCAATGACGTGGTAGTGGCATTAGACGCTGTAACGGAAAACAACCGGTTATTGTTTATTCGTGACACGATTAGTACTTTTCCAATATAAAATAATAAAACCCACGCGTTGTAAATGGTATATTAAAAATCAATGGAGTTTTCGGTTCGGGAGTTGTCGTGGTTGTTGTTGTTGTTGTTGTTATGGTTGTCGTTGCGTTCGTTAAATCGGTAAACAAAGCTCTCATCATGTCCGGTGATGAATTTTTAAAACTTTTCAAATTTTCCATCACCGTTGAAGCCGTAGTCGTCGTCGCATTTGCTGCTGCTGTCGAAATATTTTCCGCAGTAGTTGACGTAATACTTTTTTTAACGGTGCTCAACGGAGTGGAAACGGTACTGAAAAGCCTGAAAAACAACCATAATAATAATAATAAACACCACTCAATTTATTATTATCATTATTATTATTTTTTTAAATTACTTCGTTAGTAATTTCGATCCTTCTTTGGCAGCATCTTGTGTGAACCTTTGCGAACGAGATCCGAATGCTCCCAATGCTTTTAATGTCGTCGTCGTCGGATTCGCTGTTGTCGGTCCGATATCTGGACGAATCAAATGAGTTCCCAAAACGGTACCCGCGTTTCTAAGTGAATGCAATCGAATATTTTCTTCGAGGGGGAAAAGAGAAAAAACGATTAAACCCGTATTGAGAGTGAGAGAGAGAGAGAGAGATAGAGAGGGGGGGGGGAAACAAAATCCTTACCTTGCAAAACTCCTTTTTCTGGAGCATCGAAACCCGCTCGAAAATTTCTATGGTAGTACAAAGTTATTTCTTTTAAACTTTCCAAAATTAACGTCCTTATCCAAACGCAAAGATTTGTTGCGACAATGTGCATCAAACCGAAACGAGCCACGAGTTTAAATCTGTGAATGTTCAGCTGTAGGGGGGGCAAGGGGGGGGGAAAAGAAAAAAATTAAAATAAATTCATTTTTAAAACTATTCACACGTATCATCCTTACCCTCGCGTTCATGAGTATGAAATACATTTGCATGAACGTGAAAATCATTTGAAGTAACGGATTGACTCCCCGCAATATTTGATGACATGGAGAATTGAAGGGAATTTCGAAAAAAGCTCCAAATTCTAATCCGGTGTATATCATCGTACCCAATCCGAATGCTGTTAATATAAATCAAATCGTTATAAACCATTTTTTCTCGACACAAAAATGGGGGCGGGGCGGGGGGGAAATCACTCACCGATGGCTCCAACTCTCAAAAAGAAACTTCCGTGACTGCTATCGTTTTGTGACGTTTTTAATTTTCTTATCTTCTTCGACGAATAACCACCCTCCAAATCCAAATCTTTTTCCATAGATGATTTTTCCAAAGGCGGGGGCGGTGGGGGCGGAGCATTGTCTCCCTCGTTTAAATTCATGTCCTTTCCATCGGGTTTTTTCAAATTTTTTAGAACGCCCTGAAAGCAAAGCGTGCGCTCAAAGCAACAAACAAACGAACCAGAAATAAAAAAAAAAAAAAAAAAAAATGAAAATGAAAAACAACCATCGAGAATCAAACGTTTTGCTGTTATTATTCAAAACAGTTTGACCATCCCTAATTTCGAAAAAAAAAAAAATAATTATAATAATAATAATAATAATATCCGGTTGATGTCGTCATGCAATAAGAGAGTATAAACGTGCACGTGATTTTGTTTTGTTTTTCTCTCTCTCGTACTACCAACTTTACCATGCAAATCTTCATGCATCCATTTTTCTCTCTCTTTTTTTTTTTGGATTTTTCCCCGCTAGGGGTCA